CATGGTCTAGGCCCGAAACGTCAGCCTTTCTGCTCCTATGATGCTGCTTGGCCTGCTGTGTTCATCCAGCTCTGCACCTTGTTGTCTCGGATTCTCCAGCATCTGCAGTTCCTACTATCTCTATTGGTGAGTGAATACTGCTCGACGGCATTTTTGATTAAATCTTCCATCAGTTCACTGATGACTGGAGATAGGCCAATGTGGCAGTGATTATCTGCATTGGATTTGTTCTGATGTTTATAACAGGAAATATTTGGCCCATTTTCCAGTGTGTTGTAACTGCCCATCTAGGCATGTGTCTGGTTCTGAAGCAGAAATTCGTCAGTTCCACATTTGGGATGCTGACAGACTCCATTGCTTTTGCTGGGTACAGTAGACTCAGCCTTTCCTTAATATGGAGTTAACAGAGTCGGTTGGACACTGGCATCTATAATTCTCAGTGTCTGTTGTGGATGCCAAGTTAGCCCATATATTTGGTTTATGCACATGTAATGTCTATAAGATTATACCTTTAACTGATTGTCCTATCAGGAGAATATTAAATGTCTCAAACACTATTTGCAGAGGGCCAGTGGAGTTCTCCCAGCATCGTAACGAACATTCATTCCCTCAATTAACATCTCCAAAATAGATTTAGTCAGTTATCAATCTCAGTGTTGGTCACGGGAGCTTGCTGTGTTCAAACTGACTGCCACATTTGTCTAGGAAAATAACAAATGGTTATACTTTCAAAATAAATTTGAAGAGCTTTGGGACATCCTGAATTCTTCATAGTGATATGTCAATACGCACCTATTACTTGTTCCACGGCTGTTTGAGTCATATGTAATTCTGAGAAGTGTTTATCTAAAATAGGCTTTCTACAAATAACTCAAAAGCACATGTATTAATTTCTAACTGCTGATCACAATAATATGTGTCACGCTACTTTGGAAATAGAGAGGCACTAATTAATGCAATTAACCAAACGCATTCATGTTAGAGCTATCTTCAGCACAGGACAACAAAATGCTTCACCCAACAATCCCTCTGTTCCCTCTGCATGTGTTAGTCCATTCAATTCACATACTTGTCCAACATGGAGCTCCCAATCTCCCTCTTCCTTTGTTAACATGCTGGATACATTTCCTGCAGAGCTCTCACACTGGCCAGCCCTGCTTCTAACACAGTTTGGAATCACCTCAGTCTCTCTGCAGTTGAATTGTCTGAGGTGAAAGCAGAGTCACCACACTCTTGTCCCTCTTGGTGGATTTAGTGGTATATAGCCCATTCATGTTGTATCATTTGTGTTTACACCTTGCCTCCACTAATCTGCTGGTCTTTGCCTTTCTGACACTGAGAAATATTGCCATCCATCAAACCTTTTGCATCCCTCAAATAAGTGGCATTCTGACCCTTATTGGCCCCATGGACCAACATCCCTCCACAACTGAACAGTATTTATATCTCTCCTCGAACTCCACTATGAGTATAGTCATTTCATCCGCAGTGGACTACCTTCACTAATAATTAATCTATTTTTACTGGCAAGTGTTAGCAAAAGTAAAAAAGTATTATAAATTTACAAAGTATTTTATAGTTAACAGCCAATGAAAGGGATAAAGGAATCAGACATGGTTAGGTGGTAGCACTCTCGCTTCTTGAGTTGGAAGAATCTAGGTTGGCATGGAAACACAGTACTGAGGGAATGCTGCAGTGTAACTGGCTCAGTCCTTCATATGGAAGCCTGGGCCCCATCTGACCTGCTCTGGTAAAAGGTCCCATTGCATTTTTTTAAGAGCAACAGTGTTCCTCCTGATTTTCTATATTTATCAACCAGGCCAAACCATCAAAAACAACTTATCTAGTAATTGTCACATCGCAGCTTGTGGGATTTTTTGATGTGCCCAAATTGGCTGATGTGTTTTCCCCACGTTATCATAGAATCCCTACAGTGTGGAAGCGGGCCATACAGCCCATTGAGACCCATTGTTGTGAAAGTGCCTTTCTTGGATGTGAAGCACCTTTACACACTTTGAGGTAATTGCGCGTTTGTTCTTCACTGAATGTAAATTGCAGTGAAGTGGTTGCTTTGAAATGCAATAGTCACTGACAAAATTTGCATCCTTTCTGTCAGAGGAGCATCAAGGCCCACAGACCAGCATTGGATAGTGCACCGATTAAGTTCTTGGTTGGGGAACTGCAGCATTGCATTTGGCTTCTAGGCAAGAGAGAATGAATTAAAACTGTGATCATGCTTGGGGTTCATGATGGCTATCTAGTGACCCCTACTGGAAAATGTGGGACAGCAGAATTGGAAAAGGTTCCTATAGAGAATTTCTCTGAGATCAAAAAAGAAAATTATCTGCTTGGAAGGAATATTATGGGGAAAATAATGTCTTCAGCACCTGTGGAATTAATGCTCAATGTGTCTCCTAGATTTGAGAG